TATTTTCTGGGAGGAACAAGACTCCAGTTAATAATTAATGGGCATCAAATGGCAGATATGGACTCTCAAGATGAAAAACAATTGAGTAATCCATCAGAACTGTGTTCCTAATATCTACCAGCATCTTTTGAAGGAAAGGGTGCACAGATCACAAAACTTGAATTAATGCATGATGAGACTTTCACAAGCATAAATGTTAAGAAATTTTAAAAAAAAAATGCCACCAAAGGGCTTTTTTAGTTCTAGTTCACAAATAAAGGGAATTGTGGTTGAATGGAAATACTAGTAACAAAAGAAAGCCAACAATCTAGACCTCCTCATTCAGTCTCTTGGAATTTTAGCCACTTTGTTGATGCACGAACTTGAGTACTAAATAGGCAGAATTGACCCACTGGTAAACTAGAAGAAATTGGGGGAGGGACAGATCATTTGTTCTGCTAAATTACTTGGTTCACTCCATCTACCTGAGAAACCAAGTGAAGTCAAATGAAGGTAGTTTCTGAACTGGCTGAGTTATCAAACCCAAAGAGGAGAAATTAAAGGATGTTTGTCAACCAAGGAGTTCTACAATGGTGTACCCCATTCCCTTTGAGTCTGAAATCGACTACTTGTAGAAAGGTATAAATAGAAATGCTTTTAAATATGCTGATGGTATCTAAGAGAACTAATGATAAATCATACTTCCTATCTCATTGGGAAGGAGAAGAGAGACTATGGGTTCAGAATGTGACATAAACTCTCCATTAGTTTTGCTTATCTATTTTTCTTTATTGCAAAGCAGGGTTCACTAAGAGGGGAGGGGGAATATCAGAAAATCACTGTAGCATAACAAACAAAAGGCATCAATACAACTTTTCTTTTAATTGCTCATGACACAAAACTGGGAATCCTTCCAAACTTCAATTCTCAACTCAATAAACATTTATTAAGCACCTACTATGTGCCAGGTAAAAGTTAGGTAGCATAATGGATAGAGTGCTGGGCCTGGAGTCAGGAAGAGTCATCTTTCTGAGTTCAAATCTAGCATCAGACATTTACTAGTTGGGTGACCCTGGGCAAGTCACTTAACCCTGTTTGTCTCAGTTTCCTCATCGGTCAAATGATCTAGAGAAGGAAAGGGCAAATTACTCCAATATCTTTGCCAAGAAAACCCCAAAAGGAGTTGTGACTGAATAAAACAACTAAACAACAATGTGCCAGACACTATACTAAGCATTGGGGATACAAATAAAAAGAAAAATAAGCCCTGCCTTCAAGAAGCTTACAATTTAATAAAGGAAGACTACACAAAAGGAAGCTGAGAAGTGGAGAGAACGAAGGGGTACCAGGTGGAGTTGAAAGCAAGCAAGGCAATGGATGAAAAATGAAGTTCCCTGCAAAGTTCCAACCCCTCTATAAAAGAAAGCTACAGGAGGAGTTTGTAGCTCTATGCTCCAACATCCAACCCGAGAAGAGAGGCAATGTGAGGGAGGTGAGATCGTGTTGAGTATCAAAAGCTGAGTCTCAAAAGCTGTCTCATCACTACATGCTGATGAGATTTTAAGGGATCAGTTTATCCTAGGGAAAGCACGATGTTAGTGAAGTTGAAACCAAGCATAACCTTTGCTGGAAAATGAAAAATAAATGATGGGAAAAGATGGAAAATGTCAAATCTCTTTGACGACACAATGAGAACCATCCAAGAGATACTGGTTAGTATCTTTGGTTAGTATCTAGAATGTAAACTCCTTGACAAGGGCCTTATTTCACTTTTTATATTTGTTTTGCCAGAACCTAACAGTGCCTGGCACAGGGCAGGTGCTCTGTCTTAAGGGTTGCTGTTTTGTAAAAGCCATGGAGCTTCGAACTGAAAGAGCATGGTGAAGGAAATATGAGGGAACAAGAACACCGTAGCCAAGGCCTTTAGCCAGAACCAGAAGCTGAAAACAAAGAAAATTATATAGCCACAGACCCAGTTTGTCTATAATTTTCAGCATCCAAAGGAGCCCACATGACCATTGGAGCAGTGACTAGTGGAGACCACACACCCAGCAAAACAACAGCCAACAGAAACATGTCCAGTGTTGTTACTGTGTAAATTGTTCTCCTGGTTTTGTTCATTTCATTTTTCATCAGTTTATAAGTCTTTAAAATTGTTCATTTTCACATTAGTGTTAGAGTGCAACTTGTTCTAATTCTACTTAGTTTTTTCTGCATCAACTCATTCAAGTCTTTTCTGATTATCTCTTTGAAATCATCTATTTCCTCATTTCTTATAGTACAATCTTATTACATCTCATTCATATGTCACAACTTATTCATCCATCCATCAACTGATGGATACCCCCTTAGTTTACAGTTTTTTTCTACCGCAAAAAAATTGCTATAAATTTTTTTATATATCAATCAATAAACATTTATTTGGCATGGCACTATGCTAAAGGTATAGGAGTATGGGACTTTTTTTTCTTTTTCTTTGTTCTCTTTTGGGTGAAAGTTAAACAGTGATATATCTAGGTCAAAGGGCATTCACTACTTAGTGATGTGTGTGTGTGTGTTTATAATTCCAAAATGCTTTTCATAATGGTTATACCCATTTACAGATCCACTCACAGTGCATCAATGTGCCTGTTTTCCCACAGTCCCTCCAACAATTGTCATTTTCCTTTTTTTTTTGTCAAAAACTTTTGTGTTTTTTTAAATTCAATTTTATTTTATTTTCAGTTCCAGATTCTCTTCCTCCCCTCACCCTTTCCCCATCCATTGAAAAGGCAAGAAACATGAAGTCCATTACAAATATGAAGTCATGCAAAATAAATTTCTGCATCACTCAAAAAAAAAAAGAAGAAAGAAAAAGGAGGAAAAAAATGTTTCAAGTCGTATTCTAAGTCCATTCTCCATCTGAAGGTGGATAGCAGTTTTCATTTTGAGTGCTTTGTAATTGTGGTGGGTCATTGTGTTAATCAGAATTATCAAGTCTTTCACAGTTCATTATCTTTACAATATTGCTATTACTACATAAATCATTTTCCTGGTCCTGCTCACTTCACTTTATATCAGGTTGTATAAGTCTTCCCAGGTTTTTCTGAAACTATTCCCTTCATCATTCCTTATAGTTAAATAGTATTTCATCACATTAATATATCATAATTTGCTCAGCCATAAAAACAACCTTGAAAGCTTTAAGAATTCTGATCAACACAATAACCATTCATGACTCCAGAGGACCAATGATGAAACATGCTATTTGCCTCCTGACAGAAATGATGGATTCAGGGTGAATAATGAGATGTATATTTTGAACATTTGAACAGGAAATTTATTTTGTCTATTCATATTTGTTACAAGGAATTTGTTTTTCTTTTTTTTTTCTAATGGAGTGGGGAGTTGGAGGGAGAGAAAATATATTTTGGTTTATCAACAAATTGTTTTCTAGAAAGAAAGAAAAAAGAAGGAAGGAAGGAAGGAAAGAAGGAAGGAAGGAAGGAAAGAAAAGAAAAAAGAAAGAATGAAAAAAGGAAGAAAGAATAGTAGAAACAACAACCTAAGTAGAAAGCAGGTCCAGCAAGAGTAATACTAAATCACCAGAAGATAATAGCAGCCCTGAAAAATCAGAGGTCATATAGGCTACCTGGCTACATGTATTCCCTTCACATGTCCACTTTTCCTACTGCCAATACATGTATTTAGAGGAGAGTAGTGCCTTAGCATTATGGGGGAAAGTGTTTTATTGATGCTTTTCTTACAATCTTATTTCAATAAGTACTTTTGTTTTGAATTTTTAAAAAATGATTGACAAATGAATTTTGAACTTGGGCAGGAATTGAAGTCAAACTTACTGACTCTGACTTTGAAGAATGTATTCCTTTTCTTAAAAAAAAAGGGAAAGAAAAAAAGTCAGGATATTTATCTATCTTCTGCCAGTGAAACCTCTCCATTTTCCATGATTTTTCAAAGGTCACAGACAGTGGCCCCTCAATTACATCCTACCGTGTCTTCTCCTTACTGACCACTTACCCCCTTGAGCCTCACTTTCTGTGATCGGTTTTAACAACACCTGCTCTACTTTTCCTACGAGGTCTTGGTGAAACTGAAACATAGCATATGAGAAAGCAAAGTGTACCAATTCCATGAATTAAGATATTACCTCTCCCAGCTAAAATCTTAGCATCTGTCCTCTTTTAGAAGGAGCTATATCAGTCAATAAGCATTTATAAATTGCTTGCTATGTACCAAGCCCTGTGCTAAGAGCATTGTTTCTTACCTTCAGATAATTTATAATCCAGTAAGGGTCATAATATGTGGAATTTATAGAATGCTTTACATACCTTATTATATCATTTGATCTTTACTGTAACCTCCTAAGAACAAATGCCCCCCAAAAAACATTCTATTATCTTTAATAGACTTATTTCTAGAAAATAAAGATTTTTCAGTTTGTAGAAAAAAAAGAAAATAGAAAAAGAAGGTTCTCTCTCCTCTGCCCTATCTATCAGAATCCCTAACTCCCTTCAAGGATCAGCTCAATGCTTTCTCTCCCAAGAATCCTTCTGTGATACCCCAACTAGTTGTTCAGGTTCCTTCTGCCCCAACCCTCACCAAATCGTTTTGCATATGTTTCACATTTATTTATCTGTGTACATGTTATACCCCCCAAGTAAGATGTAAATCCCTGCAGCACCCTTCCCACTCCATCCAGAGGTAAACAAATGGGTTTCTGTATTTGCTCCCGGGTGCAGCGCGTCCCGGGAAGGCAGTAAGCCTCCCAGTTTTCTAGTCCCCCCAGGTATGAAGTTCGCAGGGCAGATGAGACAATGTGACTCTCGCCCAGGTCCTGGTCCTTTTGCGACTTAGGAAGTCACCTGGCTCCTGGACGCCGGCGGGGAGGTGGGGCTAGGAGATGCTGAGGCGGGGCTTGGGAGAGGCGGAGAAAGGTGCGAGGGGTGGGGCCGCTGGCCTTGAAGACTCTAGGCAGCCCACGCCCCCGCAGGCCCCCGCTGGCCACGTGGAGGCGCTGCCCGCCCAGCTCCACCTTCTGCAGCCACAGGGACCACCTGCGGGCAGCTGTGCCCGCAGCTCATGCATCTCCCTGTACTGGGCATCGGCGGGGGTGGCCCCTACTCCTAGTCCCCAGCGGCGGGTGGCCAGCCGTTTGGCAGGATGCCGTGCTTCAGAGGGGAGTACCTGGTAAGCGCCGAGCTCCACCCATGGGGAGCCTTCAGGGAGTGGGTGGGCATCGGGTCCCGCACCTGCTGTCCCATTGCATCCCGGGGGAAGGGGCAAGGGGGCTGGGGCCGGCGGAGTGAAGCGGCCCCGGTACCCCAGGCCGCAGAACTGTGGGGCGTAGCCGTCCCAGCTGCAGCAAACTTTCCGGCCACCTGTAGGGCCCTGGCCTAACTTGCACCCTCCCCCCCCCCCCCCCCCTCCTCCCCCCTCCTCTTACTTTCATTTCCTAAGGGCAGTCTGTGTGGGTGGTAGGAGTGGAATAAGGGACCTGGCTCTAGCCGCTGAGGATGGCATCGAGCCATAAGCATGGAGTTAAAGCTGCATCCAGGTGTGTGTGGCTGCAGAGAGCAGGTGGTATAATAACAACAACAGCAACAGCGAGTAGAATTTATATCGCATTTTAAGGTTTGCACAGCGAATGCTACTTTCAAAAATGATTTCTAAACAACTACCCTTCCCTTGGGTCAGTAGTAATTCCCGGTATTTTATTTATGCCATTAATGAATAGTTAGAAAAGTAAAAGCTTTCAATTTTAGTTCCTGGGGTTCGGTTGGGAAGTTGGGACCCACGTGGTTACTAATCCTCTACTAGCCTCTCCTACTTTTTATTCCCGCCCCCCCCTCACCTCTTATGTTTTTCCTTCTCTCTGAAAGGTTTCTGCAGAGGAAAGCCCGAGACAGAGAGAGTGGAGACCCCAGATTTATAGAAAATGCACAGACCCAGCTTGGTTAATCCTGTTCTTTCTCTTTTGGGTCGGTTTGGTAAGTGTATTGACCGAGGGGAGGGCGGACTGTTGGGGGGTAAGGAGAGGAAAGAGAGAAGGAAGAGAAGATTTATATGAAATGATGCACCTAAATTCAAACTGTGGTTCTAGTGCCTGGAAGGGCCTAGAAGACTGAGTTGTAAGGTTCTACAAAGCCCAGACATCTTCTGCGGTGATAATTTTTGTAATTAGCTTTATAAAAATATAAATGCTAGTGTTTAGCACAGTGCCTGGCACCTATTAGGCGGTTAATTAATGTGTATTGCATTGTATTGTGTTGTATGGCTAATCCTGAGGAGTCTTGTTGGAAATTTCCTGTGGCCTGTGGCCTGAACTCATGTGAAATTTTCTCCTAATGGCCTTGTGCCAGATCTTAATGGGAGCCTCTCTAAGGGACGCTGGCACTGGAGTTTGTCAAGTGATGATAATGTCATCCAGTCTTCATTTTGCTTTCTGTGGATGTGTGCTTGCTTATCCTCTTACCACCAGAGATTGCTGACAGAGAGCACAGGTGATTCTCAGAAGGTGATTTAGGATTTCCTTTTTTGTTAAACAGAAAAATGGAAACCGGTGAAAAGAATTATGGAAGGCAGCCTAGCATATTGAGAAACATGTTAGATTTCTAGTCGGAACATTAGCATCCAGTTGGAATCAGTTTTTACCACTTACCACCTCTGTGACCTTAGGCCAGTCATGTTAACTCTGAGGGCCTTGTTTTCCTCATTTGTAAAATGAAGGGGTTTGTCTAGATGGCCTCTGAGGTCCCTTCCTGCTCTAAATCCACAATCCTAATTTTTACACATTTTGATTACTCACTTGGCAATTAAAACTGAGACAAACCCCGGGAGAGTGTCCAGGTGTCTCTTTTGGGAGTTGTCCTGGACACACGCCCTTTTGATATTCTGTGCCTGCAGCCAGCAGTTAACAACGCCCTGGCCCTAGCTTTAAGGTGAATGGTACTGATTCCCCACCCCACCACACACACACACACAAAACTGCCTCTCACCTCCTTTCCAACATATGTGTATAGAAGTTGGTGGGCCTTTCTCCAGCTAAAGTGAATTTGGTTTTATCTCTAATCTTGCCAGCTCATATATTTGCAGGAAGAGTTTGTAGGATTACCTCCGAGGGTCCCCCTGTCTCTTCTCAAAGACCCACCTTTTGTAACTGAAAAGAGCTCTTTTATTCATTGTAAACAAGAGGGACTGACCTCAGCTGGTCGGGGCTTACCATTTGCTACCTTGTCAATGATTAATTCTGAAAGCAATGGAACAGCTTCTAAGGCTTGAGCACCTGGAATGAGATCCCCATTGCTTGGAGCCCAGGTCTGCATTGAATGTGGGCAGGTGTCACTTTTGTCCTCAGGTAGCACTGGTAAAGACCATGTTTGTTGACTGCTAATTGGTTTCCAACGAGGCCCTGTGGTACAGAGGGAAGAGGGTTGGATTTGGGCTACAATTCAAATCCAGGCACTCCCCACTACCAGTGTGACCTCAGGTCAACAAGAATAATAATAACAATAGCCAACTTTTAGATAATGCTTTAAGATTTGCAAAAAGTTGTTGCATGCATTATCACATTTGATTCTCATAGAAACCCTGTGAACAAAAAAAAAAAAAAGAGGCCACAGAAACCCTGTGAGGTGGGTACTGTTGTTATCTCCATTTTACAGATGAGGAAACTGAGGCCAAGAGAGGTTAAATGACTTGCCCATGGACGAACAGCTATGACCTGTCTGTGGAAGGGTTTGAATGCAGTCAGTATTGACTCCAAGGCCAGCAATCCATCTACCATGCCACCTCCCTTCTTCCCCTCTGGGCCTCAATTTCCTCATCTGTAAAATGAGAAGGTTGGACTAAGTGACTTCTAAGCTCCCTTCCAGCTCTAAAGCTTTTATCATGCCAATTGGTTGTGAACAACTGGTATGGCATAGTGGAAAGAATATAAAATTTGGAATCCAGAGAATCTGGATTCAAATTCTTAATTTTCTCATCTGTAAAATTAAGGGGTTGTATTAAGTCACCTCAGAAGCCCTTTCCTGCTGTAAATCTGTCATCTTAAACATAATATGTGGAAATAAAATAAAATATTCTAGGTAGAATAGAAAGGTTGAGGGTGAGTTTCAAGGGCCCTTGGGTTTTTTTCAGGGTGAGGGAGGGAGAAATGTTGACCATTTATGTACTGTCCATTGGAGAAAGTTATGTAACATTCCTTCAGGTTTTGTCACTAATTTTCCCTACTGGTTGTATGTCTTCCCACATTATTCTAGAGTGCGTGTTAACCTTTAAAGGCAGGCAAAGAGATTCCTGCACAGAGCTGCTTTCTTTCACAAATGCTCATTTTAATCATCAGCTCTCAGTTCCAAGCCCATTCCGGGAAGGAAGCCTTAGCTGAAAAAGGCCTTCACTTTCCTAAGTCAGAGCCCTGGGAAAAGGGCAAGCTGACTGCCTCTAGTAAGGGCCAAGCACAGTGTGTCTAACTGGGGCCAAGCAGAAAGTCATGAGGCCAGCAGAGAGAGGGATGCTGCTTGAAGAAGTCTACTCCATCTCATTGGTGGGAGGAAGTCCTGACTTGAGTGGCCCTCATCTTTGAATGGTCTTTTCTTTATAAATAAAATGTCTGCATTAACCAACCTTACTGTCGCTGAATTCAGAACAGTTCTTCCAAAGGAGAGAGAGTCTTAGACATGGAGAAAAGACAGAATTAGAAGGTAGAAGGGCAACTCTCATGTTGGTAATCCAGGAACAATTAGGAGAGAAAATTATCTATTATCTTCATGAGAAAGAATAACAGCTGACACAATATGATATCATGCTTTCAAGTGCACAGAGAACTTTATATAGATTTTCTCATTGATCCTCACAACAACCTTCTATGTACCTACATCAGAAATACTATTATCTCTATGTTCCCTCCACTGAACCCATTTTATAGGTGAGGAATCGGAGGCAGGATTCAAAGTCTCCCAAGCCCAGTTTAAAAATTAGCAGGTCTTAAGCAGGATTGGGTGAGGAGAAAATTTCCTTATACCTAAAGATGAAAAAATGCAAAGAAATCCAATCGTCAGATTTTTTAAAGCAGTTAAAAAGTACAGCCTATTGTATGAGTGGAGAACCATGAAGCTGAAATATGGAATATGGGGAAGGGTAGTGGGTTCCTAATTGAATTGGGCCTGTTAATGCTACTTACTAAAAGAGAAATCTGAGATAATAGTGAGTGCTACAGTTTAAAGAGCTCCAGCTCTGCTAGCAGAGGACCTGTGTTCAAATCCTGCCTTTGATGCTTACTACCTTGAATGAGTTGCTGAATATCCATGGGCCTTAGTTTCCTTATATGTAAAATGAGGGAGTTGGGGTTAGATAGCCTCTCGGATCCATCCCAACTCTAGGTCTTATGATCCTATGATGAGATTTTTCCTTTGAGAATTTCTAGCAGTGAGTTTTGTCGGGATAAGGCTGAGCTTCACCCCATGCTCTCTTTGGGTTTTACCTAGACATTCATCATGGGCTATTCCGTGATAGCTGGAGCTGCCGGAAGGCTGGTGTTTGGCTATGACAGCTATGGGAATGTGTGTGGCAAGAAGAACTCCCCCGTGGAAGGGGCCCCTCTTTCTGGACAGGACATGACCGGAAGGAAGTAAGTGCCTGCGCCAGTTTCTTAAGTGGCTCTGAGATCATTGTCCCTGATTCAGGTACGATGACTATGATAATGTATCTGTGGCATCGTATGTTTTGCAAAGCAGCTGTAGTTCGTAGGGTTATAGAGGAAAGGTGAAAGGGAATAAGCGTTAGCCTGCTACGTCCCAAGTGCTGTACTAAACATTTTACAAATATCTCATTTGATCCTTACAACAACCCTGAAATGTAGGTGCTGTATTATCCCCATTTCACAGTTGAGGAAAGTGAAGCAAACAAAAGTTAAGTGACTTGCCTGGGGTCATACACTTAGTAAGTGTCCAAGGCTGAGTTTGAACTCAGATCTTCTGACTCCAGGCCCAGCATTCTATCCGCTGTGCCACCTAGCTGTTTTTAATTATACATCATGGGATAGTAGATCCAGAATTGGCTGGAACCTCAGGTGGCATCTGATTTAACTCCCTCCTTTTACAGATGATGAAACTGAGGCCCACAGTGGATAAGTGTTTTCACAGTCACCCAGGTAGTAATCTTCAGAAACATGATTTGAACCTAGGTCCTGTGACCCCCACAAGCTAGCACCCTATCTGTTTAATCCGATAACTCAGCAAACGCTGGTTCAGCACCTACTAGATGAAGAGCCTGTACTTACACAGGAAATAAAAAGGTGGGAAATCATACAGAATCATGGAATTTCAAAGTTGGAAGGGACCTCAGCCATCTTGTTCATACACAACCATACCAGAAAGGAACCCCTATTACAAGACGCCCTACAAGAAATGGGATGATAATAATAGTAATAACAATAATTATATAGCAGCGCAAGGTTTGCAAGCAGACTCTGAGGAAGGGAAGCCCATTGCCTTCCAAAGTAGCCCATTTGGCTAGCCCAGGGGTGGGGAACCTGCAGCCTCGAGGCCACATGTGGCCCTCTAGTCCTCCAGTGCAGCCCTTTGACTGAATCCAAACTCACAGAACAAATCCTTTTATTAAGGCTATTTGTTCTGTGAGTTTGGATTCAGTCAAAGGGCTGCACTGGAGGACCTAGAGGGCCGCATGTGGCCTTGAAGTTCCAGGTTCTCCACCCCTGGCCTCGACATAGGCCTTGCCCTCAAGGAGCATACAGTCAGTGGGGAAGGAGGTGAGACATCAACTGTTTATAACAGCTCTAATACTAGGTAGAATACAAGTATATGCAAAGGAGAGGTTGGGAGAAATAATCATGGAAAACTTCATAGATGGGGTAATGTCTTTGAAGAAAGAGAATGGTTCAAACCCAAAGATCTCTCGCATTTTTGTTGCCATGGAGTATCCTCCCTTAGGGCTCTGTGGCCTAGCGCCCCTTCCCCCGAGCCAGGTCACCCATGATCGTCCGCGCAGCCCGCTGCCTGACAAGGGCTGCTCGGGAGCCGCCGCTAAGGTTTACATCATCACAATAAGAACAAAGCACCATGGCAGCACTCCCATCCAGCGGTTCACTCGTAGCAGCCCATGACCGCCACCGAAGGCGTCTGGGTTCCACTTCTAGCAACAGCTCCTGTGGAAGGGCTGAGTGTTCCGAGGAAGTGATCCCCCATCATCCTGGTCTTCCCAAATCAGACCCAGGGACAGCTGGGCAGGCTTCTTCTTTGGGAAGGCAAGTCATCCATTCATGACAACTCTATTGGAATCCCCAGAGCACTTAGGAACTTTCCACGTTGCTCACGGCACGATCACCTGTGACCTGGCTCAGAAGGCCATGAGGGAGCAGCGAGTCAGCAAGCCCAGCAAGACCAGCCCTGGGCCTTCTCCACGAGCAGCAGCGCCCTCCGTGCTGCTCCCCTGCTTCTGAAGTGTGCTAGGCATCAGAGCCCATGTCCCCTCCCCTCTCCCCCTTCCCTCTTCCACCTATTCCCTTAGAAGAGACAGGCTGCTTAAGTGTAGAAGTAGTTGTGTTGTTTGTGTGTGTTTTGTTTTGTTTTTTAAAGGAAAACAAAAGCAAAACACTAAAAAACAAGTAAAAGAAACCACACTGTTACTGGGTTTTTTTTTTGCTATCTGAATGACCTGTGTGCTTTCCAGCAGCCTCAGTAACTTGTTTACTTTGTACTCAACAGAAACGAATAAACTTGGAGCAGCCTTTTAAAAAAAAAAAGAAAAAGAATGGTTTCAATAGACAGCTTATAAGCTTTCTTTAGACACAAAACAGGAAGAGCGTGTCCAGTTTGACTAAAGGAGAATAGCAGGAAAGGAAAGTTGGACCCAATTGTAGAGGGCCTTGAATGTCAGACTTTGTATTTTACTCTGTAGGGAATGGGGAGCTATTAAACTACTCTTGAGCACAGAAAAATAGTGTGATCAGATCTGTGTATTCAAAAAGGTTATTGTGATAATGATGTGAAGGACACAGTGGAGAGGGGAGAGATTACAGATGGGCAAATTAGAAAGCTGTTCCTTGCTGTAGTCTGTTTGAACAATGATGAAGACCTGAACTAGAGCAGTTATAGGAGGGTAGAGTCCATAAGTCTTTCCAGCTGATTGAGCATGTAGGGATAAGGGACGGGGAAGAGCCAAAGAGAAATCTGAGGTTTGGAGCTTGTATGACTGGGAGGTTGGTGGTGCCGTCAACAGAAATGGAAAAATTAGGAAGAGGGACGTGACAGAGGGAAGAGATATCAGCTGTTGTTTAGTCCAGCCTATGGCCCAAAAGGAATCCCACCACAACATATGCCAACAGGTGATGGCTCTGGAGGAGAAAGTGAGGCTGGTGACTTTGCACAGTTCTCCCTCACTCAAATCCAATTCAGCCGCAAGTTATGTCATCATCTCCCTGATGTCACGGTCCTCTTCAAAAACAAAGGACAAACCACGCACAACTCCAACAAGTGGCCATCTGTCTGTTTGCTTGAAGACCTCCACTGATGAAGAGTGCACTCCATTCCAAGGATATATCCCAAGTCAATCCATTCCACTTTGGGCTAGTTCTCATTGTTTAAAAAAAAATGTTTTTTCCTAGTCTGCCCTTTGGGGCCAAACAGATAAAATCTGACCTCTCTTACACATGACAGTCTTTCAAGGTTGGAAGATGAGTTCTGTTTTGGACAGATAGAGTTCAGAATACCAAAGGGATATCCAGGTGGAGATGGTAACATTCGACAAGAAGTTGGGAAAATAAGGTTAGAGTTCAGTGAAGAGTTTGGGGGTAAAGATAGAGATAGCCGGGAGACTAGATAAGATTGCCCCAAAAGATAATATAAATAGAAGAGAAGAAAATCTCTAAAAGGGGCAGGGTGGGGAAGAGAAGAGGGTGAAAGAGTTTCCAGAGAAAGAACTGGTAATTAGAAGTATATGTAGAATGTTTTATGTGTGAAGAATGGTAACCATCTCGGGATAGAGGGAGGAGGGGGGAAAAGAAATTTGCATGATAGATAGCTTTATTATATTTTTAAAAGGAATACCAAGTTGTACATAATAGATTTGCAGTTTCATGTACAATCATTTTTTATTATACTGTTACAGAAATGCTTGTTTTATCCCACGAATTAAAAATAAAATAAATAAAATTTAAAAAAAAAACTTTGGGGGATGTCCGCAGAAGGTGAGAGAAGGAAGAACCAGAGAAATAAACCAAAAAGAAGAGGGCAGGGGTACATGAAAGCCATGTCATGGAATGCTAAAGAGCAAAAGACTCATCAATAGTCCACAGGACTAGGTGTTATAGTATAGTCATAGGAACATAGATTTAGAGCTAGAAGGGGCCTTAGAAACCATGAAGTCTAACCCCTGAGGATGAAAGAAGATAAGCCCTGGTTCACAGAGTTCTTTGTTGTCTGAGGCAGGATTTGAACTCAGGTCTTCCTGACTGCTAAAAGGGGCAACTCGGTGGTACAGTGGATAGAACACTTGTCTTGGAATCAAGAAGATGCTGTCTTCATGACTTCAAATCCAGCCTCAGACACTTTCTACCTTTGTGATCCTGTTTGCCTCAGTTCTTTGTCTGTAAAATGGACTGGAGAAGGAAATGGCAAGCCACTCCAGTATCTTGCTAAGAAAACCCCCAATGGGGTCATAAAGAGTTGGACACAACTGAAAAATAACACAATGACAATAACAAAAAATAACAACTTTCTGACTGCCACTCCAGCACTCAAACTCACTTACTGATCAAGGGAGCTTATGAAGGGGCTTTTTGGACTGAAGAATTAGGAAGCCATTGTTGACCTGGAAAAGAATAGTTTCAGGAGACTGGGGACAGAAACTCAATATAGGAGGTGGAGGATTGAGTGAGTAGATAGTTTAGCAACAACTTTTTCTAGAACTTTGATAGTAAAGGAAAGAAGAAGATGGTACAACAGCTTGAGGAGGTAATGATGAAGAAGGGGATTTTGGTCAGGAGAAATGTGTGGTTTTGTTGCTGGTTTAACTCGGAGAACTGGGTGTATTGGTAGGCAGAAGGAAAGGGACGTAGCTGCTGGTGGTTTTGAGGCTCTCCGTTCCTGTCAGCAGCGTAGAGGAGCGCTCAAGTGGGAGGGAGGGAGGGAGAGAGGAGGAGAGGGAATGTTTCTGCCCAGTGGAGAAGGAGAATGCCCAGTCTCCCCAGACCAAGCCCCAAATGTAGCTCTTAAGAGTTTTGGGAACGCAGGAGAGGGGAACGCAGGAGAGGGCCACGCGTGCTGCCCTGCACAAAATGTGTACCTGTTTCTGCATGCATACTCGTGTGTGCCCTCATGCAAGAGAAATGAGTCTGTTGTTCCTTTCTACCCCATCCCTTCCCCTTTCCCCTACTTTCCAACCCCCCCGCAACCATGTGGAAAGTTATGTGAAAGTTTACTTGAACACTCTCGGGTTTGAAATGTATTCTGTTTGAGTTTGGGACCTGTGATCTCATTCATGTGGGGAGCTGCCAGGGTGGAAACTCCCTCTTCAGACATGGAGCAGCAACTCATTTGTAATTTGTTGTTTTAGAAAGTTGCCAGGGGCCTTTAGAGGAAAAGTGACTTGCCCCCTCCCCTCCAACGCCCCTCTAGTCACATTATTAGTCTGTATAAGAGGCAGTACCTGAAGGTTGACCTTATTTCAACTCCATCATGCTGCCCTTCTCATTTATTGTAATCAATCAGCAAGCATTTATTAAGTACCTACTATGTGCTAGGTTGGTTTTTTTTTTTGTCTGCAAGGCAATGGAATGAAGTGACTTGCCCAGGGTCACACAGCTAATAAGAATGTGCTAAGTATTAAAGACATAAGCCCAAAGAATGAAACAATCCCAACTCCCAAGATTACATTCTAATGAGGGAGAAAACATGTCCATATATATAGTGTGTGTATATTAAATATAAGTATATTTATACTTATATATAAATATATGTGTAAGTACTTCCATAAGTATATTTTAGGCAACCGACCACAAACTGTGTCCAGGCTCTGTTTAATGGCTGTTTCTGCTCTGGATCACAGACTCATGGGACCAAAAGGGATTTTAGTGATCATCTAAGAGGCAAGAAACAAGCATTTATTAAGTAACTCCTATATGCCAGGCACCATCCAAGTGCTTTATAATTATTATTTCATTTGGTCATCAGAATAACTCTAGGAGGTTGATGCTGTTATCCCAGTTTTGGAGTTCAGCAACCGGAGCCAAACAGGTTAAATGACTTGCCCAGGGTCACAAAGGTAGTGAGTGTCTGCACTACCTAGTGGCCTTATCAAGTCCTACCCATTCATTTTACAAATTCAGATCCAGAGTCACACAAGTACAGATATCTCTGTGGAGATGTTAAGTTTGAGGGAATAGAAATGTTAATGTTTTTAGGGCCATGTGAACTTTATTTATACTTCTGTTTGGTGCCCAGTATCAATATAGTGGAGTCATAGACTCAGATTTAGAGTTAGAAGGGATCTTAGAAGTCATCTAGCCCATAGGTTCCCAGAGTGGGCGATACTGCCACTTGGGGGGTGCTGGAACAATGGGGAAGAGGGGCACAGTTTTTTTTTTAAATGATGCAAATTAAAAAAAAAAGTTAAAGAAAATTTTCCAGGGGGGCGGTGAGTAATATTTTTAAAAGTGGTAGGCCAGATAAGTTTGGGAACCTCTGATCTAGCCTAATACCTTTGTTTTAACAAATGTGAAAACAGACTCAGAGATCACACAAGCAGTAAGTGACATCGCCAGGATTTTAACCCAGGTCCTCAGACTCTAAATCCAATGTGCTTTCCACTGTGTAAATACTTTAAAAAAAAAAAATTTCAGTCATATCCAACTCTTTGGGACCTCATTTGGGATCTTCTTGACAGAGATACTGGAGTGGTTTGCCATTTCTTTCTCCATTTCATTTTACTGATGAGGAAACTGAAGCAGACGAGATTAAATGACTTGCCCAGCTACTGAGTGTCTGAAGCTGAATTTGAACTCAGGTCTTCCTGACTCCAGGCCCTCGCTGCCCACAAATACTTTAAAGGTTGCAGTTAAAAATTAATAAGAATAATGACCTTAAACATAAATCTCTTCTCTCCTCTCCCTAGGCATGTATTCTTCATGAATTCCTGTGATCTGGAAACCAAAGACCTCAAAATCAATTCCATTGCTCTCTGCGTATCCAGCTGTCCAGAAGAGCAATTAGACACTCTGAAAGATGTTGAGCTTTTCGCCAAGAACAATGGTAGGGATTAGGCAGCACAGACCAGCTCCCTCCCTTCCCTGCCTGTCTGAAACAAGATGTGCAACATGCCGGGGGATGTTGTGAGCTGAGTTTCTTGGGGTGTTTTACTTCCTTGCCGTGGTTTCCTTGCATTGGAGAGTAGAGGCAATAGGTGTCTCTCCAGCTTGTCCAGTTTCATCCAGGTGTGTCTGGATTGAGCTGAAACACTAGTTGCTCCTTGTGTGTATGTGCTGTAGGCTGGGAAACATTTCTTGCCTCGTGGAGAATGCCACCATTCAACAGGTGGGCCAGTGCAAGGTGATTTATTACCGGGAAGGGCAGTGGGGGGAATTATGTTAATTCAGAGAAGAAGGAAGGGGAGAGAAGTCCCTGAACTTTACTTATTTTGTCTGCAGCAGCCTGTACTGACTCTGATGAAGCTTGCAATCCATTAAAATCTTCAGATCTTTTTTTTTCCCCCCAAATAAACTGCCGTTTAACCGTTCTTCACCTCCAAATGTAGCGTTCTTCCTATTGCACAACAAAGCTGTGCTGCCTAATACCTACCACTGCTGCTGGGGCATGTAAAAAACCAGCTTTGTTAAGAGAGCCACAGACAGAGACAGGGGCGTCTCAACTGACCCAGAGCCCTAATCAGCACTCATCCTTAGCCTCTCTTCCCAGCTCAGGCTCACTCACTCACTCTTATTTCACCCTCAGTTCAGTAAAAGGGATGATGGATGTCTCAGAACAAGGCGTTTGACACTATCTGGAAAGAGGGACCACCATCTGTTAGAGATATTGTAGGGAAGATTTCCTTCTGGGCAGGGGTCGAGATAGATCACAGAAACACAGGGAAACCCTCAGAACCCACCAGACTCATCAGATTCTCGTCTCTCTGTGTTTTGTGTGTTTAGGTTCCTTCCTTTGTGTTTATAATTTGAATTCTGTCAACTACACCCAGAGTCCAAGTGCTGCCTCCTTGTGTCCCAGGCTTCCTGTTCCACCAAGGTAAGACATTGCCTACGCTTTCATAGCCCAAAAGAGTGGAAGAGATCGTGGTATCCTAGCTTTCGAGCTGGAAGGGGCTTCAGATGCTATCTAGTTCAACCTCCAATTTTTGTGGTGAACCTGAGGCCCAGAGAGATTAAGTTGATCGATTGATTTATCCAAAGTCACCAGAGTAGTAGGTTAGTATCAAAGTTTGAATTTTATTTGGGTTGCACTTACTGTAAAATGGGCACAAGGCTCAGATAGCATACCTGAATTTATATTTCATTTCAAGTGGTGTCAAAACCGAATAGAAATGGAGACCACTAAACCATACACAAGGATCCCTGCAGGCTACATATTGACTTAGAAAACCACATATTAATATTATCTATGTTCTATTGGATTTTTATTTATTTTGTTAAATATTTCCTTTTAATCTGGTTCAAGCCCCACTTAGGAATGTTGTAGGCAGATGTGTGGCACCTCTGATATAGTCCATCTCTTCATTTTACAAATGCATAAAATGAGATCAAGAATAAAGAAGTGACTTATCCAAGGTTGTACTACAAGAAAGTGGCAGGCCCAGGGCTGCTGGTGGATTCCTAATCCGTTTCTATTGTGCTACAATAGCAATTCTCGATTTTTTTTTAAATTTCAGGACCCCTTTACACTTAAAAATTGAAGACCCTAAAGAACTTTGGTTTATATAGGTTATATCTATTGATATTTACCATACTAGAAATTAAAAGTGGTTCAAATTTAAATATTTATTTATTAATTTGTTTAAAATAATCATTACAGACCTATTACATGATAACATAAATAATGTATTTTTATGAAAGTAACTATACTTTCCAAAAGAAAAAAATTTAAAGAGAAGAATGACATTATTTTACGTATTTTTGTAATTGTCTTTCATGTCTAGTTTAATAGAAGATTATCCAGGTTCTCATATCTGCTTCTGCATTCAACCTGTTGTTTTAGTTGAAGTATAAAGAAAATATGAGCTCAGCCAGATAGGTGGTTGGAAAAGGAAAGAGTATTTTAATATGCAAATAGTGTTTTAGTAGTATGAAAATAATTTTTACCTTGAGGATCTCTGAAAGGGTCCTTGGACCTGTATGAGTCTGAGGACCATACATTGAGATACTTTGAAAAGATACAGAGAGATACATTCTCCTGCCCTCAGAAGAAAGTTAGATGATGGTAATAACCGTGGATGGAAGCTCCATAGTGCAGGGAGCAATCTCTGCTTTGACCATTTAGAAAACTGAGCTCAAGGTGGATCAATTTCATGGCTAAGGTCGTCCAGCTAAGAAGCTAATAGGAGTTAAACCAAACCATTAGGCAGCAAGATATTGGGTAACACAAGGTGATATAAGGGAGAAGGGGGTTGGTTCTCCCCACTTGTCCCGTGACCACCTTGACTGAGCCGGGGTGAGGGAGAAGAGAACCGCCTCCCCCTCTCCCCTGCCCGCTAAACATCAGAGATAATCAATGCTGCATTTATTGTCTGCTCAAGGCCACTTTGTTTATGGGCACGCCCTTCATACAGTTACCTTGAACAATGTTATTTCACAATAACATCATTAATATATTATTACTTCAATTAGCTCTTAGATCCACAGCCAATCAAAAGAGATTGGCTTTTTGTTACAAAAGAAAGTTCAGTTTGAGGGGTGAAGATGATATTTCTATCAGGAAATAATTATGAAAAGGGTCAGTAAAACTTTTTTTTTTTCCAGAAGGGGAGATTAGTCATGCTTGCTGGAAAAACCAAAAACCAAATGGATAAAGAATGTCTATGATGTGTAGATGCTGGTAGTCAGGCTATAAAATATAGATATTGTAATATAATGTAATGTGTGCTAGGTGATACTGTGGATAGAATTCTGGGCCTGGAGTCCGGAAGACTTATCTTCCCGAGTTCAAATCTGGCCTCAGACATTTATTAGCTGCATGACCCTGGGCAAGCCACTTAACTCTGTGTGCCTCAGTTTCCTTATCTGTAAAATGAGATGGAGAAGGAAATGGCAAACCCATTCCAGTATCTTTGCCAGGAAGAGTCAGATACAACTGAAACAACTGAACGGTATAGTGTAATATCTAAAGTATGGATATTAGCACAGTGCCTGGCACATAGTAAGCACTCTCTAAACATTAGTGACTGTCATTATTATTGTATCTAGAAAAGCTAGCTTCAGGTCCTTCCTCTGACACACATTAGTGACAGTGTGACCTTGGATAAATCACTTAACCTTGAAGTGCCCTAGGCAACTCTCTAAAATAATAAGTTAAAAGTTACAGAAAAGGTGCTGTCTAGCATTGGTAGAGAGTAACCTGAGAGTTCCTTGGATCAAATAAATCACTAGTCCACATTTATAGGGTATTTTAACCTTGGCAAAGCACTTTACATCTGTTATCTTATTTGATCATCACAACCCTGGGAAGCAGGTGTTATTATTATCCACATTTAACAGTTGAGGAAACTGAGTCAGCAAGAGGTTATAGTGACTTGCCCTGAGTCACACAGCTAGTTAGTGTCTGCGGTAGGATTTGAATTCAGATCTTCCTTTCTGAAGTTCAGTGCTCTATCCGCTAAGTCACCTGGCTGCCTTTTACAGGATAAATAACCCATTGAATTGATCCATCAATACACATATCTTGGCCAGATGCTACAGATAAACATTTAGCTAGGCCCCAAACTGAATAATAGCAGAGCAGCTACAGTAGCATTTGAGAAACTACTCAGTGCTTCAGGAATTCCAAGCTTCTTCTTCTTATCCCTCGAAAGCCCATTTTTCAGCAATACTTTACTCCCGGTGCTCCTAGCTCCCCTGGCTACGAGTCATGGAACACTGTGGGCTCAGAAAAATTCCAATTGGAGGTGACCCAGAAGGCCAAAGAAAGACGCATGGTGAAAATAAGTCAGCTGTAGGATTTAACCCATCATCCCTTACAGGCCAGAAGCAGCATCAAAAATACCAACCAGGTATTGTATGTCCAGAAAAGGAAGGGGGCAGTCACATAGCAGGAGCAAAGGACAACAGCTGGGAAGTCTTAGTGCCTTGCTGGAATCCATGAAATAGTAAAAGATTCACAGGAAGACCTACAATTATTGAGTTTCTATGAAGAATTTGTGGAAAGTCTCAGACGAGAATCAAATAGAAAAAAAAACATGAAGGTGTTGGAATTCTGGTGGGACGGACCTTGGAAATCATAGGATCATAGATTTAAAATTAGACATTGCCTTAGAGGTCTTTGAGTCCAACTCCTTCATTTTGCTGATAAGGAAACTGAGTCTGGAGGGGGGAAGGTTGAGGGTAAGTGACTTAGAGTCCCATAGCTTCCCAAAGACAGTTAGTTAAGCATTTGAACCCAGGTCTTTGGAATCTAGGTCCAACCCTATTTCTACTGTACTAAGCTGCCAGGTATGATTTGATGCAATGGGTGGAGGCAGAGTTCTCACTGATGAGATCACAGATTCATTGAAGGACAGTATTTGTAATATATTGCAAACAAACCCCACTGTGAAATGTGCTGTAATGTTGTCCAAACAATCTGTCCCTTGTAATGCTAGTTACAGAAAAGTTAACAACTTTAGGTGGAATATTCAAGTAGGTGGCACATTTGATAGAGCACCGGGCCTGAAATCAGGAAGATTCATTTTCCTGAGTTCAAATCTGGTCTTGAACAGTTACTTGCTATGTGACCCTGGACAGGTCACATACCCTGCTTGCCTCAGTTTCCTCAACTGTAAAATGAAATGGAGAAAGAAATGGCAAACCACTCCAGTATCTTTGCCAAAAAAACACCAAATGGGGTCACAGAAAATCAGACACAACTGAAAACAACTAAACAATGACAAGTAAAGCACTGGGGATATAGAAAGAAATTAAGACAGTCCCATCTCAAGGAGCTCACGTTCCGACGGAGGACAATACGCAAGGCTTCAGCTACAAGTCAGACGGAAAAGAGTCACATCTTTGGGGTACAGTGGCAAAGCCGATGGTCATGCCTGTTCTTCAGTATTATTTACCCTGAAGAATCACATCCATTTCTGATGCTGAACCGTTGGACCATACCAAGGCCTTTGGGGACAAGAACTTTTTTTTTCTGGGTCCCTAATAAATGTGGCTGTAACACTTGAAGGAGGAATTAATTGGAAGACTGCATCTCTACGGGGTTTGCTTCCCAGAATCCTAGCCCTGTACGCTGCAGTGGAAGCATTGTTATTCTAAAGGGTCTTGGGCTCAGGACCCTGACCTGACTAACACAGGGTCTAAGGGAAGATGGTGGTCAAGGTGAAGGTGGTAGTTAAGCTTGCCTGGCCTAAACTGCCTCCTGTCCCTCCTTCACTGGGCCTTGTTGCTTTGCTTCAGCTAGTCTGGCTTGCCTGCCCTGTATGTGGCAGGTTAACACTTGGTGAAGATGACTGGCCCATTGTCAACAGGAGTTCCTTCCCTGAATGATGCTTGAACTGGAAGTAGGACCAGTGTCTAAAGGGTGCTACCATTCCCAGGGCTCTTGTTCTTAAATGCCTTTTGGAGGTAGTTGGTGATGACCCACTTTCCTAAGTGGGCTTCATCTTTACAGTAGTTTCTCCCCTCAGTGAAGGCTGTTGAGAGAAGCAGGTCTGGTGGCTTAGGAGATACTATTATTCCCAAGGCTCTTTGGTTCAGGGTCCTGGGCTGTCTCCACCAGAGACTGTGGGGAGATAGTAGTCAAGTGCTGGTGATAATTTGTCTTATCTCTCATGTACTGCCTCCTGTCTCTCCCTCAGGGATCCTTACTGCTTCACCTTAGCTGGCTTGCCTGCCCCTTGAGTGGTAAATCTCTTCATCTTATCCACAAGAATAGCTTTTGTCAGCATCAAATAGTGATAGGGACTGGACCTGTGATTTTGTTGATGTAATTCCAGAAAAGAAAAGCATCAGTGCAGGTCAGCACCTTTTCTAAAGCTTAGATTCTTAGGAAATGACTTGGAGCACTATCATCTGTATACCTCTGAGGCAGGA